ACACACACACACACACACCCACACACACACACACAGCCAGCTCACTCTTTGCGACTTCTCTGCTGCACTGAGCCCAAGTCCAGGTCCAGCTAAACATTGAGCAGGAGCTGAGAGCTGCAGGATCATGTTTCAAACTGCACTTCAAAAAGCTGTGCACTGCAAAACGTGCTCATTGTAGCCATTAATCCTGACTTCCTCATTTTGATAAAAATAATAATAATAAAATCAGCACAAATTGTTTTATTCATTTTTGTTTTGTAGGTCAAAGTGTTGTATATAACACTCCTGACTTAAAATGTTGCTGATCAATTTGAATTTATTATTATTTATTGATTGTATTTAATTTGATTTTTCACTATCAAATGGTCAAAAATGTTTACAGTTTAAATAAGGATATATATATATATATATTAATAATCTTTGTTGTAAGTTGATCTATATTTATTTCTTTTTTTAAATTTCATGTTAATAAGGATACAATGTTATGCAGAGGTGTACTTATAACAATTTTATAGACAAATTATACTATCTACAGTCGCGGCGGAGAGTTGTGTGTGTGTGTGTGGGGGGGGGGGGGGGGGGGTTTACTTCTTCCTAGGTGGGGCGTAACAGAAAATAATTGAGAAGCACTGATTTAACTGGACAACTGACCCTTTATAAAGGCTGCTAACTTCTTACACATAAGCTGCTGTATTCATACCTCTGCTCACAACAGACTCATGTTCCGGCTGCTGCTTCCATCCATCCATTATCTTTACCCGCTTCTTCCATTTTGGGTCACGGGGGTCACCGGTGCCCATGTCCAGCAATCACTGTGCGAGGGGCGGGGTACACCCTGGACAGATCTCCAGTCCATCACAGGGACACAAAGAGACAAACGAGACAAACAACCATTCACTCTCTCACTCACAACTGGAGACAATTTAGAGTTACCAATCAGCCTAACATGCATGTTTTTGGTCTGTGGGAGGAAACCAGAGCACCCAGAGAAAACCCACGCATGCACGGAGAGAACATGCAAACTCCACCCAGAATGGCCCCCGGACCAGGATTTGAACCAGGGACCTGCTCGCTGAGAGGCAGCAGCTCTACCCGTTGTGCCCACGAGCTTTAAATCAAATGAATAAATATAATGAATGCAAAAAGTACACTTTTGTTTGATCTGAAAAGCATTTAAGATATATTACTGATTCAAAATGTTTTATTTATGTTCTTGATTTTAAAATCTATTGGAATATTTTCCAATTTGACAATATTTTCCATATTCCAACCCTCAGTGACATCAGTGTACCACTTGTTTAGTTCAACGTTGATGGGTAAAGATTTCTAACCACGTGAATACAATACAATCTCATTTTTCACATTTACATAACTAATGAAAGTATACTGACCTAACAATTTCACCAAGTGGGTATACGCCAGAAAAGACACCACCGTCTGCAGCTATTTCTGTGATTGGTACGATGATGCCTTTAGAAGTCTAAAAAAGAAAAAAAATCCTACCATTAATTAGCTTTGTTGTATTTTCCAAATATCTATCATCAACAGCTGCTAAAAAAATAAAATAAAGATTTGTTTAGCAATTACACCATAAGGAAAATCATAATAAATAAATAATAATAAATAAGTAAATAAATAAATAAATAAATAAATACACAAATAAATAAATGGGCTCAGTTTCATCTCTCCTGCTAAAATTACACACAAAAAATGCATTAGGGTGATTTTGATTATCTTAACAGTGCAAATTGAATGTTTATATTATTCAGAATTTATGTATATATATATAAAAAAGAAATAAAATAAAACACAGTACCTCAATCTCAATGACAATGGTATCTGCATTTTGAATTTGTTCTTTTTTTTCCATGGCCTTCATTTGTGGCGTCAATGCAAATATCCTGTAATTAACTGACAAATGAATACAGTTCAGAAATCAGAAATATGGGGAAATGCAAATAAAACTACTATTGACGTATTAATAAAGTTAAAAAAAAAAAAGCAATTAAGCTTATTAATAAAGTGGGGTATTGTGAACCAACTAATAAGCTTTTTATTCAAAGTAATACTTTAAAATTTAATGACATTGTTTATATAAAATTACTGGAAATAATGTATAAAGCACTGAATAAAAGTCTTCCTTCTGGAATTCAGAAATTATTTAAGTTAAGAGAGAGTAAATATAATTTACGAGGTTTGTTAGCATTTGAACAAGTTAAAAGAAAAGTAAAGTAAAATCTAGATGTATTTCAGTTATCGGTGTGAAACTGTGGAATGAACTGAATGATGATCTTAAATTATGCACTTTTTTGGTGAGCTTTAAAATCCTTAAAATGTAAAATTATAAAAGCTTATACTGTTATGCAAATGTATATGTGTATTGTGTAACTATGTATGTATGTAATGTGAGTATGTGTATGCATTATATACATGCATATTTAAATATGCATATATATTTATATATATGAACAGTAGATATATGTCATTATTGCTGAGTCTATGAATAGGATAGACAAGTATAAGCCTTGGATTCATCCTATTCCTTTTTTGGTAAATTATTGATTTACCATTTTATATTGTTTTCCTTTTTTGTAATGGTTTTAATTTGCCAAAATAAAGTTGAATTGAGTTGAGTTTCGTTATCAGTGTTGTCAAGCTATTAAATACAAAATAGGAATATTCTGTCAAAATGTAATATAATTTTTAATTCAGTCAATTAAAAACACTTTCACTTTTTTTAACAGATATTTTCTTTTTAAAATGCTAGAATTCATGTTGACAACTGTAACCCTAGTATTTTTTTAAACAGTAAAGATCGTAGCTCCACACATACTGTGCTGCAGGGGAGATTATCACAAAGCCGAGGAGCAGCGTTCAAACTTCTAGGAAATACATCAAATGTATATCCTGATGCATGCTAAATAATCCAGGTAGAAAAATCTAAAACATCATCAATTACATCAAATGTAATTCCAAGTATTGTACAACAAACCTCCAAAATGTGGTTGTGTGTACAAAGTACGTTTCATTTATTTGTTTTGGTCATTTATTTTCAGGTAAAAAAAAAATCAAAAGAAGATCGGCCTGTTCTAAAACATACCAGCCTTTCCTGTATTTTAGAACACTGACTCATACAAGTCAGATTATCTGTGCTCACCTTTGCTGTTGGGGGTGTACAGGGTCTTGTCAGTCTGTATGAAGATGTATCCAGACTGGAGGGACACCAGGACAACTTTCTCCAGCTCATTGTCAGGAAACGTCGCTCGCAGGTAAACATTTTGTTTCATAGCGGGGTCCTTGCTGAAGTCTTCAGCTGGTATCTGAAACCAGAATAAAAAAAACAGGACAGCCTTTTAAGTCAAGGTGGGGAATAGAAGAAGATAATTTTACAAGCATGTCTATAATCTGAAGGTTTGCCTTGTGCAAATTTAGCAGGTATTAAAATAAAATTGAGCAAAGAATAAAATGCTTTATTTAGTTACAGTTATTTTTCCAAGCTGCTGGAATTTGTTGCCACTGTTAAGGGTCACAGATGTCCTGGCCAGCTCTCTGGTTTTGGTCGGGTGGTTGAACACTCTGATCTCAACGTTAAAGGGGGCACCACTGCAACCGTGACATTCAACCAAGATGCTTTCTTCTGTTCCAACTCGAAGCAAGTTGGGGGCAGACAAGACATTGCTGAAAAATAGATAATAGCACAGCTGCTGTATTAGAATAAAGATTAAATTAAAATATTCAAAAATTAGGATGACTTCGCCAACTAGAATATCATTTATTCTGCAGAGATTTAGTTGGTTTACTTACATTGACTCTCCATTACAAAAAGAAGTCAGTGAGGCAAAGGCCAGAGAGGCCAGCAGCAGATGAATCCTCCTCATCCTCCAACCTGATCCTGATCTCATGTCAGTGTGGATCCAGGATATGTACCCTCTTTTTATCCTTTAACATTTGTCTTTATGCCCTCTTCCCATTTCCCGTCATTACCTCCTCCCTGCATGCACATAAACACAAACAGATTAAAACATGAATTCCCAGCAGCGGTTGAGAAATTGCTCTTATCTGACAAAACTTATCTCCTCTCTGAGAAAAAAGTAAACAGAAGAAAATCAATAAGAGCCCATTACACGTTTCGCGAAACTAAGTAAAATTAAAAAGCTAAACCATAATAAAGGAAATTTTTAGAGTTCTACTTTCTTGTCAGAGTTTAAATACTTGTGTAAAGTAAGTTATAAATGTATGTAAATTAATAAACATGCAGATACAAAGAGCCTGACCAAGTGATGAAAACATTTTGTTAGACAAAGTAGGTTACTTGGGGGACAGGATGGACATATTTAGGGGTTACATAAATCATCTGGAAAACAGAAAAGAGCTTACAATTTACTTACTAAACGTTAATAAATAATAGTTTGTAAGCACAACATAATTTTTTTTAAAGTATTGTACAGTAAATATACCATTATTTCATTGATTGTAACTAAACATGCTTCGCAATTCAAAGCAGCACAGTTGTAGCTAAAAACACATGTTCTATTACATAATGTTATTATCACCAGAGGAGGGATTTTCTTTTACTTCTTTACATTCATAAAACCTATTGTAAAACGACCATTTGTTCATTGAAATGTTTGATATATCTGAACTAGAGTTCATTGTCACTGTACTGATCTGGTTATGAAATTAACTATTGTATGGATTTGCATTTTATACCTTAGCACATTGATTTTTGATTGAAAGGTACTTTAAAATAGACTTTACTTGTCTATAGTGCACTTTTAAATATGATCAAACAAGTAGGTTCTTTCATAAATATATATGTACATGACTTGTGACCTGTCCACGGTGCACCCCACCTCTTGCACAGTGATGACTGGACATGGGCACCAGTGACCCCCGCAACCCAAAACGGAAGAAGCGCGTAAAGATAATGGATGGATGGATCCAGGACACACCAAATGTTGTTCCAGATGCAATCTTGGATTTTAAACCTGCAACCTAAGGTTTACAAGTTTGCAACACCTATCACCAAGCTATTGCAGCCTCAGTGACAATTAGAATACAGTATACTCGCTACTTCGAGGTTTGACTTCTGCGGACTCGCTCTATCGCAGTTTGTGGACGTACAGTCCATAATATTGTACAAATAAATCTACAAGACACAAGCCAGTAATGGTCAGTCAGGTCATATGGGCAGTTTCTTTTTTGTGGAAAGACGTTTCACCCTCTATCCGGAGGGCTTCATCAGTCTGAGGAGTCCCAAGTAAACCGTTTTCCCCACTGAGTAGTATACTCATTTTATACTCATATACTCATTAGTCCTCATCTGCTCATACAGACTCATGTTCATTCTGCTTTTGTTTTGGCAAATTGTTTTTGTACCATTAGTGCTTAGTGTATTCTTAGTTTAGTGAATGTAGTATATTCTTAGTTCATGAGTTGGATCTTACTAATGTTTTTCTTTACAATTTGTGTTTTTGTTGGATGTAACTGGGACCCCGTGTAGATAGTTTCGTCCTACCTCATGTATCATGTGTGGTGTGTATGACAAATAAATCTCTCTGACTCTGACTCCTTTAGTGGACCAACGAGTTCGCTGGTGATAAGACACAAGACAGCCTGTGGCACTGCTGAGGTGTAATGGAAGCCAACATTGCTTTGATAGCATAGGTCATCAGCATTGTTGGGTCTGGTGTCTCTCACCTTCCTCTTACCGTAGCTCATAGATTCTCTATGGGGTTGGTTCAGGTCAGGCGAGTTTGCTGGCCAGTCAAGCACAGTAACACCATGGTCATTGAACTATCTCTCGGTACCTTTGTGGGCAGGTGCCAGGTCCTGCTGGAAAATGAAATAAGTATCTCCATAAAGCTTGTCAGAAGGAAGCATGAATTGCTCTAAAAATTCCTGGTAGAAGATGGCTGTGTTTACTGTGGACTTCAGAAAACCCAGTGGACAAACATCAGCAGATGACATGGCACCCCAACTGCCTGACTTCAAGCAGCATGGATTCTGGGCCTCTCCACTCTTCCTCCAGACTCTGCGACCTTAATTTCCAAATGACATGCACAATTGTATTTAATCTGAACACAGGACCTCGTTGTGCACAGCAATGTTTTGCCCATCGGGGTAGCTAGCGGGTTACGTGACGGAAAAGTGAAAACTATCCATAGTGACCAAACTTGATTTACAGAAATATTTATACTGTAAAAAAAAGTTCTATAATGATTCATTTAGTCAATCACCAATCACAACAAACTCAATAAGTGTTTACATCCCTGCTGTCACTTGTACAGTTTTTCCATTTCTTGGACATATATGTGTGTTTTTGTTCTTTTACTTGCAAAAACATGTGCATATGTTGTACAGTGTTAAAATGTTCCTAATCAGTTCACATCTCCTGAATCTAAGTATGCTATTTTTAATAATTACACAGTATACCCAAGTTCCTGGTCAATAATTCAGGTAAAAATCCAACAATGTTCAGTCATGTTATCTGGAGGGTTTCTTTCTTTTTTTTTCAGAGATGTTTCATCCTTCATCCAAAGGACTTCTTCAATCTGAGGAGACACCAAACAAGGTAACCCTTTATAATGAGGTACACAAAATTTGACTAACTACTAAGGAACGAATCAGGAACAAATCAGGAGCTAATGGGCAGTTAACCAGTACTTACTGGGGAACACAAAACCAAGTCTTAATAGGGGACTACTGGTTAGTTACCTTGTAAATGAAAAGGAACTAATCAAGAACTAATGGGTAGTTACCAAGACAAACCAAAGAAGAACGAATCAGGAGCTAATAGGTAGTTAACCAGTACTTACTGGCGAACACAGAGCCAAGCCTTATTAGGGGACTACTGGTTTGTTACCACAGGAATAAACCAGTTGGTAATGGTCAGGTAGTGATTAAGTAATGACTGGTTCCTCAGTAAGTACTTGGTATGACTACATCAGTGAACAAAACAATAGCCATGCAATGATTTGGTACTCAGTAAGTGATAGTCAGACATAGTTAAGATGACACCAGTACAAGATCATGGAATTGATAATGTCTTTCATCAATAGGTTTACAAAAGAGAAAATTCAGTAAAATAAGTAATCACTAGGTTTTTGACAATTATAAGCTGTGACCTCACTGGTGCAGGGTTTATTCAAAACCAACAGGGAGAATTTCTCCTCTTTTTCTGTGGTAACAAACCAGTAGTCCCCCAATAAGGCTTGGCTTTGTGGTTAACTACCCATTAGCTCCTGATTTGTTCCTCTTTGGTTTCCTTGGTAACTACCCATTAGTTATTGATTACTTCCTCTTCATTTACAAGGTAACTAACCAGTAGTCCCCTAATAAGACTTGGCTGTGTGTTCCTCACTAAGTACTGGTTAACTACCCATTAGCTTCTGATTCGTTCCTGAGGCGTTCCCTAGCAGTTAAGCAAATTTTGTGTACCTTATTGTAAAGTGTTATCCCAAACTAAATGATTTCCACAAACAGCATACATCAAAGTGGAAATAAAAAAACAGTTTGCTGGTGAAACTCCAGGGCCCGCCCCTCTCCCCCATCAACTCCTCTGAGACAGTCATGTCAAAGTGGTTCAAAACACCAAAGTTCATGCTCAATAATCCAGGTAAAAATCCAACAATGTTCAGTCAGGTCATCTGAACGGTTTATTTTTTATTTTTTTGCTGAGGCGTTTCGTCCTTCATCCAAAGGACTTCATGATGCTGCATCACAGACATCCTCATGTAGTGAGACTGAATGTCATAACTAAAGCAAGAAACCCAATTAACACAATTCAACAAGTTTCCTTCAGCTGCACCCATATCTGCACCACATACATATTTATCAAAAGCATCAATATGAACATAAAAAATTGACAAAAATGTATATATTTGTAATTAAATCAAATGTGGGTGGCATATTGACTCTGTTGGTAGAGCTGTTGCCTCTCAGCGAGAAGGTCACCGGATCAAATCCCATCCAGGGAACTTTCTGGGTGGAGTTTCCATGTTCAATCCGTGCATGCATGGTTATTAACAGATACTCCGGTTTCCTCCCACAGATCAAAAACATGCATGTTAGGCTGACTGGTAACTCTAAATTATCCCTAAGTGTGAGTGACAGAGTGAATGGTTGTTTGTCTCTATGTGTCCCTGTGATGGACTGGAGACATGTCCAGGGTGTCCCCCGCCTGTCGCACAGGGACTGCTGAATATGGCCACCAGTGATCCCCACGACTATGCTGGCCCTGACGGTCCACCACCGCTCTAAAGACATGGCATTAACAGACACCCAGCCTGCAGGATGCTCTCACAAGCTGGAAACTGTAACCAAATGGGACTTTTAACTGTAACATCTGTCAACAAGACCAATGTTATGATTAGTGAGTGAATTTTAAATCATTTGACTTTAAATAAGAAAAAAAAAAAACACTATATTGCCAAAAATATTTGCTCATCCATCCAAATTATCGGAATCAGGTGTTCCAATCACTTCCGTGGCCACAGGTGTATAAAATGAAGCACCTAGGCATGCAGACTGTTTGTACAAATATTTTGTGAATGAATGGGTCGCTCTCGGGAGCTCAGTGAATTCCAGCGTGGAACTGACAGGATGTCACCTATGCAGCAAATCCAGTCGTGAAATTTCCTCGCTCCTAAATATTTCACAGTCAACTGTATTATAAGAAAATGTAGTTAGTTTTTAAATTTCTTAACAGGATGGAATTTCAATTTTTTTGTTGACCTGCTACCTATTTACATATACTCCAGCTAGGATGCTTAGGTTTCAAACCAACTTCTTCTCAAAGTCCCCAAAGCGAGGTCAAAGACCAGAAGGGACTGTGCCTTTGAGACAGCTACCCCTAGACTCTGGAAGTGCACCTTTAAACATAACTGGCTGTATTACAAAACTTCTAGACACAATTTTAAAATAATCTATTTTTCTGGCCAGCTGCAAACACATTTCTTCTCCTTGGCTCTTATTTCAGGTTAAGTGAAAGTCTTGCTGTGTACTTCTAATAAAATGTGTTATTTTTTAATCTTTTCATTCTTACAATCAGCTTTACAGTTTGTTATTTTGCGCAGTGTTATTATTATTTAGCTACCAGGTGTATATTTGTGAATGCTTATGAAGTATTCGCATTATTGTGATCCATTTTTCTACAGTACATTTGTAGGTGCGATTTTCATCCTGCAGTTTTCAAGTTGTTTCAACAAATCGTAAATCAAAACGTTCAGCTCTTTCAGGACAATCCTGCTATGACTTTTTGTATTGGTGCAACTTTAGCTTTTTGAAATATTGAGCCTTTTCTGACATATTTTTTCCTCGTAGAAAATGAATTGAGCTCATTTTCCATCCTTCAAATCTTTAGATCTGTTTACAGCCTTTTACTGCTCCTTTCACATTTTGTTCTGGTTCAGCTTCTTTGTGCAATTTTTAAACTTATTTTCCAGCTATTTTCAGCCGTTTTTCAACCGTTTTGTGCTTCTTTCAGATTCTTTCTGTGAACTACATTTTGTGATTCTTCTAACTTATTTCTGCTAATTTCAGTTTATGCTCCTTTCAGCTTATTTCTGCAAGTTTCCATTTTTCTACTATTCAGCTACTGGTTAGCTGTTTCCATGCTAATTTAAGCTTTTCCAACTAATGCCACATTTTTTGCACTCATTTCAACTTTTTTCAACCTAATTCAGTATAAATGTGCCCTCCACTTCCTTCTAGTAATTTAAGTTTCAGTTTCTGCCTTTTAGCTACATTTCAGCAGTTTTTTTATTTTTTCAGCTTTTTTCAGATATTTTCCTCTTTTTTGTGCTCATTTATGCTTCTTTCAGCAAACGTGTGTTATTTGTGCTTTCTTCAGCTAATTTAAGCTTGTTCTACCTTTTCAGCTATCTTTAGCATTTTTAGCTAATTTCAGCCGTTTTCAGATAAATTCAAGATTTCATGGTAATTTTTGGTACTTTCAGCCCAATTAACTTATTGATTGTAATTTCCGCTTGTGCTCCTTTCAGCTTTTTTCCTGCTAGTTTCAGCTTTTCTGCTATTTTAGCTACTGTTTAGCTGTTTTATGTTAATTTGAGCCTTTTCAGCCAATTCCACATTTTTTAGCTCATTTCATCTCTTTCCACTTCCTTCTCGTAGGTTAACCTTCTTTCTGCTGCAGCTACTTTTCAGCAGTTTGTTGCTGATTTCAGTTTTTTTAGCTGATTTCCTAATTGTGCTAATTTCTTCTTATTTAAATGTAATTCAGCAAATATGTATACTTTCTTCTGCTAATTTGACCTTATTTCTTTTCAGCATGTTTTTAGCTAATTTTAGCTGTTTTTCAGCACATTCTTCAGCAATAAGCATTCACACTGCATTTTTGCAGGAAATGCAGCTTCTCTAGTTTCTTTTGAATATTTTTTCAGTACTTTGATCAACCAACACTGTTTTAATTTTTTTTTTATTCAGTTCTGTTTTTGTTTCTCAGTTTTGCTCCCTTGTATTTTCTTTGCATTGTTAATTTTTTTTTCCAGCTCCTGTACTATACAAATGAATACATCAGTATATTTTTAATTTTAAAATTGAAAATAAAACCTAATCAGTTCTAACTGGATGCTTATAAATTGAAAAAATATGTTCAAAGCATGCGGGACAGGGACGAAACCTCACATAAAAGTATTTGAAACAAAAAGCAACATTGCATTTCAGTTATAACAGTTTTATTTAGCCACTTTTACATCCTCACATGCGAACAGTTAATGTTGTATGAATATAAATCAAAATAAAAATAAAATCATTTGTTTTCTTGAATTTATTTATTGCTGACATGCGAAGTTAACGTATTGATCAACCATCTCCTCCATGCCCAAACATGTGGGTCGGTATTGAGCGTCCTGACACTCTCCGGATGTTGGCCAGTACTCAACCCAGGTTCTCTCCCCGAGCACGTACTGAAACCTGAGAGAAACGACAGAAATACATTAAAAGGTGATGTGACAAGTTTTCTGTAACATGCCAGAAGTACAGAACAGAGACAGACCTGACATTATTTAACAAAAAATACCAATGGAACAACCTAAAATAAAGTTTTGTACAAACTATTAACTTACGTGTTATGTTTGTCATCTATGTGAGTATCTTTGGATGAGCCCATAATAAGGTACGTTTTCCCCTTTCTTAGATTTAAAGCTTCTCTGCAGTGCTGATAACTCAGGAATGTGCGCAATTTACCAGTAGCACCGACATCAGTGTTTCCTGTAAATGAAATGTAAATGAACGGTGAGGACATAATGACTTGTAGGGATATTTTTAATGATGCTTTAAATGTGGATTATGTAACTTTGCAAAACAACAATCAATAAAATACAAATAATTTGTCACTGCTAAAGTGCAGTGCAGAAGATAATTAAAAGCTGAGAAATGTGTTCAGTTTAGCTGCACGTCCAGGATCAGTACTCACCTTGCTTGATGACCTCAACTATCCGCATGATGTAAGAGTCTGTAGACAATCCAACTTCAATGCCTTCCACCATAACTTTGTAGGCTGTAGGCAGACAACGAGTATCTGAGCTCAGAACTTATTCTTAATCACAGTTCATATTAGTCAGAAATGCAGCACTCTTGTGGTTTCTTACCATATTCAATTTTACTGATCTCTGTGCTTTCACAAATCTTAGCTGTCCGCTCATCATTGTTAATGTTGCCGCTCTTCTGCATACTGCAGTTCTCTGAAATAATAAAAAGTATGCAATGTGTCAGCGGGATGCTGATGAATAAAAGTTTTATGACAGTTTTATGCAGCCGAGTACGACACGGCCGGGATGAAGATCAGTTCCTCCAAATCCGAGGCCATGGTCTTGAGCCGGAAACGGGTAGAGTGCCTTCTCCGGGTCAGGGAGGAGGTCCTGCCCCAAGTGGAGGAGTTCAAGTATCTTGGGGTCTTGTTCCCGAAAGAGGGAAAAATGGAGCGTGAGATCGATAGGTGGATAGGTGCAGCGTCTGCAGTGAAGCGGGCGCTGTACAGGTCTGTCGTGGTGAAGAGAGAACTGAGTCAAAAGGCGAAGCTCTCAATTTACGGATCGATCTACGTTCCCACCCTCATCTATGGTCACGAGCTTTGGGTTGTGACCGAAAGAACGAGATCTCGGATACAAGCGGCCGAAATGAGTTTTCTCCGCAGGGTGTCTGGGCTCTCCCTTAGAGACAGGGTGAGAAGCTCGATCATCCGGGAGGGACTCGGAGTAGAGCCGCTGCTTCTCCACGTCGAGAGGAGCCAGTTGAGGTGGCTCGGGCATCTGGTTAGGATGCCTCCTGGACGACTCCCTGGTGAGGTGTTCCGGACACGTCCCACCGGGAGGAGACCCAGAGGAAGACCCAAGACACGCTGGAGGGACTATGTTTCTTGGCTGACCTGGGAACACCTCAGGATTCCCCCGGAGGAGCTGGACCAAGTGGCTGGGGAGAGGGAAGTCTGGGCCTCCCTACTTAAACTGCTACCCCCACAACCTGACCCCGGATAAGCGGAAGAAAATGGATGGATGGTTTTCAGAGCTGCAGCCACATTTTTAGCATAGAATTTTCTGGTGTTAATACCATACAACATTCCTGCCTTTTTAAAGTTGGACTGAAAATAGCTAAAGATCAATCTCACACTGAAAATATCTTTTTTTCCCAAACACCTTCTATCAGGTAAAAGGTCAACAAGCATCACAGATGCACCCAACTCTCAAATAACACATCCTCAGGCAGTGACGGTCCTTCATTCTCCTCATCACTTATATCTGCTCTGTTCACCGAGCTATATAGGTTCCTCTTCCATTTTGTTTGAGCTCTCTCTTTATGCATTTGCTTGATTTTGATTTGCAGCGATCTGTTCTTTAGTGTGTTTTACTTTTTATTTTTAAAATATTTGATTTTATATTATTTTAATGAGATTTGTCAGTTTGATGTGATGTATCTTGTTTTGTATGAACGTGTGTTTTGAACTGTACGTCGGTCTAGATTCCAAGAGATGGTACTTTGTATTTGCAAGAAAGTACTGACTTAATTTAAATTCATTCCAGGTGTGATCCAGAACTGTTTCTTATGGTGGCCCTGAGGTGTAAATGAACAACATTTGAATAAACAGAATTACATTAAGCCAAAGCAGAAGTGTGTTTTTTTTTTTAACTTAATTAACAACATAAAACAGAATAACAGAGCAATGTACAGTAGGGTCATTCCTACTATTCTGTGCCTTTTGAGGCCCCATGCCATAATGTTGTATATTTTGTTTAAAGGTGGGATAAAATTTATTTTATTAATCTCATCTTATATGTTTGACTCACCTCTACCATAAATCACAATCTTCTGTACACAAGATGAATTTATTTAAAATAATTAAATTTAATTTTAAATACAACTTGGATTTACTGCCATGTCCCCTTTCATGCTTCCTGAAATTAAGTTATATTTCTAAGTAATAAATATATTAAAAAAATAATAATTTTTTTAACAGTTTTTTTAATAGTACTATTTATAATAGTTCTCATCCAATGACTATTATGATATCAAATTATTTTTTATGCTTAAATTATTAAAAATAAACTGAGTCCCTGAGTCAACAGTCCACACTGTTTCTCTAAAATACCTGCCACCCCCTGTTGGGCTTAACGTAATTACATTTTTTCAAACCTAATTCTGTTTTTTCCAATGTAATTCCGTTTTATTCGCCAATTCTGTGTTGGCCACTTCCGCGTTGGCCACATCCACTTTGGCTTAATGTAATTATTTTTGTTTTTTTCATTTCAAATGTAATTCTGCTTTTCAAATGTAATTCCGTTTTTCAAATGTAATTCCATTTGTTCAAATGTAATTCCGTTTATTCACCACTTCCACTTTGGCTACTTCCACTTTGGCCACTTCCGCTTTGGCTTAATGTATTTCCTTTTTATTTTTCCAAATGTAATTCCGTTTTTTCAAATGTAATTCTGTTTGTTCAAATGTAATTCCGTTTATTCACCACTTCCACTTTGACTACTTCCGCTTTGGCCACTTCCGCTTTGGC